TCTGGGATCATGGTTGTTAAGCAGTTCAATCAGGAACCAGAGAGGCCATGCCTCCAATTATATAGCTGAGCTGGAGGTGGTTTGTGGGTGTGTCTCCCACATACCTAATTTTTGGCCATTTCCTTTTTTGGTAAAGTTTGCCCCAAGTTTTTGGGGTCTGGCCCAAGGCACAGCAGCAATTTTGGGGTACCTGGAAGTCTGAAGGTGCCATGAGGCTGCTGATGCACTCGCCTCACAGGTACAGATTGACCTGCTGGCGACACGATCCCCCCTGTGTCTGGTTTTAAAATAAATAAGATTATACAAAAGTGTATATAAATTGAAAATACTAACAGAAAAAGAACTCTGGATTTCATTTCCAGGTGAATCTAGGACTCTTAAGCTAAAACTGATAATATCCGTTAATTTAATAATTTGTATCGTTTTATGCACATTTCAGAGACTAGAATCATTAAAAATAAGAAAACATTACTGTATTATGAACCTTTATTAGTTTGATATTATAAATGAAATTGCTCATTTATAACTGAAAACAGTAATAAAATTGACATTTTTACAATTTTACTAAAACAGGAAAGGACTATCACAGAAGTGTTTCCTCAGGAAATACTGATGTAAATAGTAACAGATTTATTCATATTTAACTTGGAGGCTTTTGTTCAAATTTATAAATAAATGTAACATTTGTGAAGCAATCTGCAACAAATTGTAGCATCAGTTTATAAAATGCGAACTGGTTTTAAACTATAAATTAATATTTTATTTAACATTTGAATAGCTTAAATTTATATATAGTTTTTTATTGTTGCCTTATCTGTTAGAATACATTCTTGTACTTTTTAGGCAGTTTTCAATTTCAGAAATTCCATGCATGTTCACAGACATCATTTTCTGAACTCTAAAACATTTGTTTCTTGATTTGCTGAGTTGAAGCATTCAATTTAAGTCATTAGCTAAACAGAAGTCCTCGGTTTATGCTAATAATGTTTTGTCACGATGTCAATCAGTAAGTATTGCAGAGTGACACAATGGCAATGAATTTCATTGTCATTAATCTGAGAAAGCTTTGGGCTTTCCTTGGCAAAGAGCAGAGGTGAATGATGTCAAGGTTATGGAGGAGGTACAAATTTTATGAGGTTGGTAGTCACCTCTACTTGTCTTTGTGATGGCCTTAGTGCTGTTTTGCTCCCCCCCCCCCCCAATTACAGGTGGAAATGAATGGTGAGTAGTATTTAAGGGTAAGGAAATTGAGGCTAAGGTGTCACCATGTAAGGGAAAACTTTGACTGGAGGCCAAGTCTCCATTGCAAAGGCATGGTATGTAAATTGTATTCACATCTTTGTAATAGAGCTGCTAGGGGAGCAGTAGTTGATCATCAAGTGCAGTGGGATATTGTGGGAAAGCCTGACTTGCTAACCAGAAGGTCAAGATTCTGGTTTGTTCTATAGTATTTTTCCTAGACAGTTTTTGAAAGATTGCCAAGTTAAAAATGAAAATTAACTGTCCTGGCAAATAACCCTGTATTGACAGAATATCTGGTGATGGACCTTACGTTAGAAAGGAATTCTAAGGTAAACGGATGTCTTCTGTGCACATCATGTCTATCTTTCATTTCTTTGTTAATCCTTAGGATATACATTCTGTTTTTTTTATCTTTATCAAAAATCTCAGTTTTCCAAGAAACCTTTTCTCTTTTGTTTATTTGTTGTTGGGTATCCTTATTTTTTCTTCCCCATTAATACACTCTAAAATAAATCCTATATGCTAGAATTAGAACTCTTTACTACACTGTTGCAGTGAGAAATCCATAGCACAGTAGTATCTTGACTTTGTGGTGAAGGTGTATGTGTTAAAGAGAGTAGTAGAGATTCACTGTGTCTTGTTATATAAAAATTTACTACTGTGGATATGTGGTAGTATGTGTGATTAACTAATAATGCAGATGCGGTTGGTTTTGGTAGGTTCTTTCTTGGGATAAAGAAACTACAATTACTTTTATTATTTTTTTATCTTTCTTTAATTTTATTTTTTTTAATTGAGTCACCAGACTTCAAATGTTTTTTTAAGGAATGACAGAATCTACTCACCTTGTAACTGATTAATAATAGTAATATTAAGGTAAATCAGAAATTTAATATTGATATTTGTGGTGTCAGGAATAAATGCATATATATGTTTTTAGGGGAAGAAAAAATATTAACTGTTGATCTTTATGTGGTTTTGTTTGGTTTGGGTGTTTCGTATTACTTTGGTTTTTGGGCCACACCCTGCAGTGCTCAGGGCTTACTCCTGGCTCTGTGATCAGGGTTCACACCTGGCAGAGCTCAGGGGATCTTACTGGGTGCCAGAATTGAACCCAAGTTGGCTGCATGCAAAGTAAGTGTCCTGCCCACTGTACTATCTGCAGTTCCTCTTATTATTTTTTTGCTTATTTTATTTTTTGGTTCTGGTTTTGAGGGCCACACCAAGCAATTTTCAGAGTCTACTACTGGTCCTATGCTCAGGGTTGCTACTGGCAGGCTTGTAGGACTGTATGAGGTGTCCAGGAATTGAGTCCAGGTTAATGTGTCCAGTGCAAGCACCTTACCTGCTATCCTATCATTCAGGTACCCCTTTATGTGGGCGTTAGTGGTTCTCTCTGAAGCTGAGATCAATAGATTTATTTCCAATTTCCTATTCGCTATTCAGAATCTCAGGGGAAAGAATCTGAAGTGATCCTGATATACCATGAAATGGGAATTATTTGAGAAATCAAAATTTACCAGACTTGGGACCAGAGAGAGAGAGAGAGAGAGAGAGAACAGAGCTTAAAGCACTTGCCTTTCATTTTTCAGATCTCACTTCAACATGATAACACAAAACGGCTCCCTGAACACAACTCCAGGACTAAGTCTTGAGCACAATAGGATATGACCCCTACCACCACCAAAAAAAAGTTTATATCCCTGAGTAGTATCATTCCTGATACTCAGATTTATGTCATATAGGAAGTGCTATTCTCTGCACTTTGACATGACCAGTTTGCTAGTTTAAGTAGTTTTTGCTTTCCGTTTGTATGTTCTCCTGATAACTTGAGTCCTGGAAAGTATGTGCTAACTTACTCAGAGCGATTCTCTCTCTGTTTATAAAGTGATTACTTTGTAAACAATATAGAGTTGACTTCTTGCAGGGTTCTTTGTAGACTAAGATCCGATATTTTAGGAAATCAATTCTGGTCAACTCCAGTTGAACCCTTTCTTAGCAGGAGATGTATTGGTACTTCTCCAGCTGGGCAAATGGCCAGTTCCTGCAACCCAAAGCAACTACAAGCTCTCTGAGCAAGCTAGATTGGCGGTGAGGCCGACACCAATAGACAAAAGCTGATGTACCAGAAAAAGGCTTTAGTCAAGGTTCTGGTTTTGGATTCCCAGTCATATCAGAAAGAATGGTAATTCCCTCATTCCACTTATCGTCAGCCTCCTGCATTGTAATGTCCTCCCACCCTGCCAGAATGTAACAGGCTGCCCCAGAATGTTATCCTGCTACAGATCCTGAGCCTGGATTTCCCCCCAAAATTCTTCTTTCACATGCTTTTATATGCAGTTTGACTTTTTTTTAAGTAAAGTGACAACAAACCAGAAATAAACTGAATAAATACACAATACACAAGTTTTAAAACTAGTAGCTTTTTACAGGGATAGATGCCCTAATGAAATACTGCATGTCTTGTCTTTATGGCAAAAGCAATCTTCTAATGAGAAGGTTTAAACTGCTGAGAGATTTCTCCACCAATTAGATGTAGTATGGTGGCAGAACATAGCGACCATAGTCTACCTGGTTACCATAAAACCTTTCCACCTGCCTTCTACCCAACTTTTCATTTAATGATTGTTTTCATGCATCAAACATGCCTAGACAGCAAATACCAAAAATATAGGAATTTCAATTTGTTTTACCGTCATTGTGAAAATGTGTTTATAATTAAACCAAAAGTGTTTAAAAATATTTCCACACCTCTTTATGTAGTATACATTTTAGGATGATAATTTTAATCTTATGTTTAAGGGTAAAACATTCTTAAGATTTATATGCTTTATATTTTTTTGTTTTGTTTTTTGGGTGATACCTAGCAGTGCTCCAAGCCTACTCCTGGTTCTGTGCTCAATAATCTTTCCTGATGGGACTTGGGTGACCATAATGATCTGCCCTGGGTTAGCTGTATGCAAGCCTAGTGCTGTACTGACTCTTTGGCTACAGTTTACTTATGTTTATTTTAGAAGAAAATTTAAATGTTTTCATGCTCTTAAAACTTAAATGTAGATATGTCAAAGTTAGTGATGCTTTTTAGAATTTAATCATTGTTATTTAAAGCAAGTGTGTGTGTGTGTGTATGTGTGTGTGTGTCTGTGTGTCTGTGTGTCTGTGTGTCTCGCTGGGAACCTGGGGCCTTACACAGTGCATGAACTCTATCATTGAGCCCCATCCCTTGCCCAAATCAGTCTATTTCTTTGTAAAAAAGAATAATCATTCTTGCTAAAAACGGTAGTTGTGGCTCTTACATGATAGACATAAATTTATGGTAATAGAATACCACAGAAGCCAGGTATTCTTATTTTTATGAAATTATTTGCTTTAGTGACTGTTTTCTCATGTAAATTTAGGTGTAGAGAAAGAAGAGAGACAGTTTGCTAGCGTGATTAAGGAGACCTTTGAGCATGGTGTACACTGTATTTTCTTTCACTTTTTGAAATGTTTAGGTATTTAGGCCACACCTGACTGGGGCTTACTCCAGCCCAGAGATCACTTCTGGGGTTTCTCAGGGACCGTATATGTGGTGCTAGGTGTCAACCCAGATAGACTGCATATAAGGATAAGGCAGGTGCCTTACCTCCTATATAATTTCTCTGGCCTCATTTTATTGTATTTTTAAGTAGCTAGGTTTTGTCTCGACAAGTATGCAAAGGAATTACTGATAGAAATTATATTTATGTATTTTAGTGTAATATGTTTTCTGATATTAGGTCTTCAAGCATGAACTAGCTTACCTTTTGACTGGTATCCTTGGAGCGGCAATAGATTATTGGATCTTCCTTGGTCTAAAGATGGGTAGGAATGTTATGCGGCACATGTCTGACGACTTAGGCAGTTACGTTTCCCTCTCATGTGATGGTAAGTCTGTTATGTTGCTACAATATTTAATATTCATTGTAGAAGTTAATTTTATGTCCTTTAGCATGTGTTCCAGATGACCAGGGGTTTACCTCAGTGTAGAGCATTTTTCCTGCATGTGTGAAGTCCTGGCTTCAACCCCTGGCACCGCAAAAAATATAAACTTTAATAAAAAAAAAATTCCCAAAAACTATAGCTTTCACGAAATGACTCAGAAAGAAAGGGATAGACATAGAAAGATTGCATTCATCTGGGGAACATAAAGTAACAAAATAGGAGACTAACACCCAAGGATGGCCAAGATTAGTGCCAGGAATGTTACTCCATGGCTTGGAGGCCAGCCACACATGCTAGGGGAAAAGGGAGCTCAGATAGAGAAGGGAACACCAAATAAAGGTGTTGGGAGGATCCTCCCAGGATGGGAGAAGCATGCGGAAAGTAGACTAAAGACCAAATATGATTGCCACCCATTGCCTCTTTTGCAAACCACAACACCCAGTAAGAGAGAGAGAACAAAAGGGAATGCCCTGCCACAGAGGCAGGGGGGGATGGGGGGATGGGGGTGGGAGGGATACTGGGATCCGTGGTGATGGGAAATGGGCACTGGTGGAGGGATGGGTATTTGATCATTGTATAATTGATACCCAAGCACAAAAATGTGTAAGTCTGCAACTGTACCTCATGATGTCTCACTATTAAACAATTTTTTAATAAAAAAAAATTAAATACATGGGGGCTGGAGTGATAGCACAGCAGGTGGGGCATTTGCCTTGCATGCAGCCAACCCAGGTTCAAGTCCCAGCATCCCATATGGTCCCCTGAAGTGATTCCTGAGTACAGGGCCAGGAGTGGCCCCTGTGCATCGCCAGGTGTGACCCAAAAAGCAATTAATAATAATAATAATACATAAATTTTAAAAATATAGCTTTCATACAAAGAACTACTGTTAAATGTTTTCATTTCTTTGTATTTCAAAGTATTTTGATATAAATTTCATACTATGTATTATTTTAAATCCTTACTTTCCTCTAAACTGTGTATGAGCTTTTCTATAAATACTGTAGCTCTGCACTGTAGCACTGTCCTCACATTGTTCATCGATTTGCTAAAGCGAGCACCAGTGATGTCTCCATTGTGAGACTTGTTGTTACTGTTTTTAGCATATCAAATACGCCTTGGGGAATTTGCCAGGCTCTGCCTTGCGGGCAGGATACTCTCGGAGAGGGATGGAGGAATCGAACCCAGGTCGGCCACTTGCAAGGCAGATGCCCCACCCGCTGTGCTGTCGCTCCAGATACATTGCATATTATTTAAAATATTATTTTGATGATTTCACAAAAATCGAAGGAAATGAAAAATAACCAGTGATAATAAACTGAGAGTCATCCTGGAGAACTGAGTTGGCGAAGTGGGAAGGGTGGTGGGTGTGGTGGTGTCGCAACATTTTATGCCTGAAACATTACTAATAATAATAATAATAAATAAAGGCTCTCCCATTGATCGCCGATTTGCTCGAGCGGGCCCAGTAACGTCTCCATTGGAGACTTCGTTGTTACTGTGTCTGGCATATCGAATACTCTCGGTAGCTTGCCGGGCTCTCCGAGAGGGACGGAGGAATCGAACTCGGGTTGGCCATGTTGGCCGCTTGTAAGGCGAACGCCCTATTGCAAATCATGTGTCTTATAAAAAAAATTAATGTGATAGTATAGAATTAAATACTACCTAGAGGTAAATTACTATATGCTTACGTACAATATTAATATGTTCCTGGGTCCTACAACTAACATTTATAATGAGAACAGTTCTGTGCAAGATAAGATTTCAAAATTGGTTTTCACTCTTTCAACTGAAGAGAGGTTTGCTTTTTTTTATGTTTTAGAATCTCACGTGGTAATACATACTTTCCATACATTTTTTAAAAGATGAAATCAATTTACTAATATCAGATAAATCAGAAAATGTTATAGTTCTAGTCATAAAGAGACATGAACCATTCCATAAAAATACAAGACCTGTTTTGCTAAAAGGATATAATACGTTTCAAAATGTATGAAGTAAAAATTGATAAATCAGAGAAGATAAATTTTAAAAATCAACTATTAGGATATTTGACATTCTTTCAAACATTAAGATTAAATTATGATTAAATTCAGTAAAGATACAAAGACCTTTATACTTCTAATCATTCAGGTTGAATAGAAAGCATTATCTATTGCTAGTCTTATCTATGCCATATGAATACTTTCTAGATCTCTCCTTACATGAATATTTAATGGTATTAAAATTAAAATTTAGGGGACCAGAGAGAGAGTGCAGTGGGTAGAGCCTTTCAAACATCTGGCTTGGCTTCCATCCCTAGTACCACATACGGTTTCCTAAGCACCGCCAAGAGTAATTCCTGAGTGCAGAGCCCCAGAAGTAAGCTCTGAGCACCACTAAGTATGGCCCAAAAACAAACTAGAAGGAAATTGAATCAAAATACTTAAAATGTCTTTGTTCTATTTGTATTGTATCACTGGCTAAAATCTTTTCGCCATAAACTTGATGCCTGTTCTTTTTATTTATATATCCTGATTTTTTTAAATGAACATTACATGAATTTTTGTTTTGTGACCTTCTATATAAAAGATGATTTTTATATGCTAAAAAATATTTTATACTTTTTTTCGTACCACTAAGCACCATACCAACTGTTCTATCTCTCAGGTCCAGGAAAAAATCTTGTTAGCTTTTAATTGTTTTTTGAAAATTAAGGCGGAAAATATTTTAGGAGATAAGGAAAATATTTTAGGAGATATGTAAGTATTGTTTTGTTATATGCACTTTAAAGCATCTTGTTTTTCATATAAAAGTTTCTCGAATATGTTGCCAATCTCTTTAATACTTAGAAAAATTCTAGAATAGGAATCCAGGTTATAACTGGATTTGAGATTTATTCCATGATGCCCTCTGCAAAAAAAGAGGTCTCTTTATACTACTAAAGTTAGAAGATTTTTATCTGAAGCATTTTATTGCCTTTCTTTTTTCCCCTCTTTTCTTTTTCACTGAGCTGAGGGGTGATTGCTGTTCCTTCTGTGCAATAGCTGTCCTTTGTTGCATGACTTTTTAACATTTCTTAGCTCAAATTCAATCTTCCTTCAGAACCTTATCCTTTCTTTCCCACCAGTTCTACTAAGTAGGTTTTTTTTTCCCCCCGTTCCATTTTAGAAACAATTCTGACATTATTTGGTAGCATAAGAACGAAACTCTCAGCTAAAAGGATTCCCCATCTTCATTCCGTAATGAAGCCTCTTTTCAGTTTGGGGACCCAGGATAGGGTTAACAGTGGCGTTGGAGACTTAGTTGTGTTTCCCCTACAAGTTGGTGACCTGGAGAGAATAATACCTTAAGTATAGCCAGTTACGAAAGGCTGAGCCTTGTATTAACAGGATTCTATATATCCATTCCATTGCTTTCTTTATTCATAATCTGAATTGCTCCTCATTTTGGAGCAGACCATTATTTAGCGTTATTTCTAGTTTCACATGAAAATTTAAGCCCCAATAAGTTTGAGCATGTGACTGGCTTCTTAAAACTACATTCTACATTTCCATATCATCCTGTCCATAGACTGAGTGCTGAGTTCCTTAGGGTCTGTGCTTAAGCACTAATATTTAAAACTTTGATACTTAAATTAGATATGCTATATCCCTGTTTGAAAGTTTGATACTTACACTTCGAAAGCTGTACACAGCACATTATTTCTTCATACTTCCAACGAGGCTACAGATAGGCAGTTTTTAAAAACTTGGTATTTTATTAAACATGATTCAAATTATTATCTTCCTTTTTTTTTTTTTTTTTTGCTAATGTCACAACTTTATTAACCTTTATCAGGAGTCATTCGTGGCCGTGCGGCATCTTATTATCTCATTCTTACTTTGGACAAAATGGCAGGCTACCAAATGTAACCTGCCCACACGGCAGAGTCTGGCAAACTCCCCGTGGTGTACCCAGTACGCCAAATACCAGTAACAATTATGGGTCTCATTCTCCTAACCCTGAAAGAGCCTTTAATATGGCGGCACTTTTAAAAAATCTCAGGGCTAGGATGAAGGAGACGTTACTGGGGCCTGCTCGAGGCAATTGGTGAACAACAGGATGGTTGTGATCGTGATTGTGATCAGGAGTCAGAAACCAAGCTAACAGTTGACCCTTAAGAAATGGTGGCTTTCAAAACCCAATAAGAGAGAGAGAACAGAAGGGAATGCCCTGCCAACAGGGGCAGGGGGCGACGTGGGGGCTGGGGGGTGGGAGGGATACTGGGATCCGTGGTGGTGGGAAATGGGCACTGGTGGAGGGATGGGTATTTGGTCATTGTATAATTGAAACCCAAGCACAAAAATTTGTAAGTCTACAACTGTACCTCATGATGTCTCACTAATAAAAATTTTTTAAAAAAGCAATAGAATAATGGTAAAATAGAAAAAAAAAAAAGAAATGGTGGCTTTTCTACAGCTACTAGCAAAATGGTATATATGCATGGTAATTTACTTACTACTTATTACCAGGTGTTTTAATAATGTGGTTTTTGTCAATATTTTGATAGTTTACTGAAAAAACATTTCTTCTTCCCTGGGTAGTACCTCAAACATTTTTTAAAATATTTATAGTCGTAACTTAGTTGGTTCTTTATTCTTTTCCTATTTATTAGTGCAGATGTTATCATTTGATTATATATGCTTTGTAGTTGATGATCCATAGATGGTCTACTGAGTGTCCTGGTATTTCATTTTTCCTAGTCCAAAAGATTCATCGTGATGCAGATATGATTTTTGTTATTGCTTGGGGGTCACACCCTGTGAGACGTAGAGTTACTCCTGGCTCTGCACTCTTGGAATTACTCTTTGTGGTGCTCAGGGGACTGAGGATTGAACCTGGGTCAGCAGCGTGCAAGGCGGATGACAGATGCTCTACCTGCTGTATTATCTCCAGCCCCGCAGATAAAATTTTAGCATGGAAAACTTTTCCCTTTCTGTTTTTCTTTTTTTGTTTTTTCCTTCCCCCTTGGGCCATATTTAGCTGTGCTTATAACTATTCCTGGCTCTGCACTTGGTATCACTCAGGGTGGTGCTGGGGATTGAGCCTGGGTCAACTGCATGCAAGACAAATGCCTTACCCACTGTTCGGTCTCTCTGGCCCAGAAAAAGTCTTGCAAGCTTTTAAGTTCTACATAAAGTGTCATTCTCTTAGATTTCTGAACATCTTAAATAGAAAGTTTACTAATTTTCCTTTATGGGCTGGAGCGATAGCACAGCGGGTAGGGCGTTCGCCTTACAAGCGGCCAACATGGCCGACCCGAGTTCAATTCCTCCGCCCCTCTCGGAGAGCCCGGCAAGCTACCGAGAGTATTCGATATGCCAAACACAATAACAACAAAGTCTCCAATGGAGACGTTACTGGGCCCGCTCGAGCAAATCGACGATCAACGGGAGGGCCTTTACCTTTACCTTACCTTTATGTAATACATTTAAGATCAAGTGATATTAAATTTCTTTTAATGGCTAATTAAAATTATTTTGTTTGTTTTGCTTTCTGGGTCACACCCGGGTGATGCTCAGGGGTTACTTCTAGCTCTGCACTCAGGAATTCCTCCTGGCGGTACTTGGGAGTCCATATGGAATGCTGGGAATCGAACCCGGGTCAGCTGCATGCAGTGCTGTCACTCCAATCCCCCTAATTAAAGTTCTTACTATGTTGTTTATACTAGTTGTTGGCCAGTACTGTACAGTGCTGTACAGTTCATTTCTTTGACTTTTTCCCAAGTAGTAAATTTCTTCATCTTTTAAGCTTTAGAGACTTGCTTTCTCAGCCCCACTCAAGTCAGAAAGCAACCATGCACTACATAAATGAACACGGGTGTGTTTCCCAAATGTTTGTTCATAAAATAAGCAGTAAGGCTTAGTTTCCCAATATCTTCAACTTGTTTCCAGTATTTTTAGCTAGAAGGATAAAAATGTCATTAAAATCTATTATCTCAGGTTCACTCATCTTTTCTGATATTTTTTTCAAGGCCTTTATTCACTTTTTCATGCCTCCTTTTTATAATAGGGACTACTTCTGGCACAAATTTCTCTTTCAGTCCCTCTCCGTGTTTCACGGCTTTTTTGTACATGTTTACACCTCTACCAATTGTCTGAGAAAAATAGTTTTTATTTTCTTCCCATATTCAATCATTTTTAAATAGGCTCTCTGCCAGCTTCATCACCATCATACAGGAGAGAATGGAAGCAAAACATGGTCCTGGATTTTTTCATTTGAAATGGGGAAGACAGACTGTATAGCAGTCGTGTAAATACATTGTTTTAAAAGGCAAACATTTAAGAGACAAACTAGATGAGACGTTGAGATGGATGAACTTGCTGTCTGTTGAGTAGTTGTGAGGCAGAACGTGAGGATATGCAGTTTAGCAATCTGGCAAGAGACTGGAAAGAGCATAGGAGGTAAGGGACTTTAAGGCGTGTATGTGGCTAACCCCAGCTTGATCCCTGACGCCTCATAAGGGTTCCCAGGCACCTCCAGGAGTCATTCCTGAGCATCGAGCCAAGGATAGCCCCTGAGCATCACTAAGTGTGCTACCTTCCCCACCAAAAAAAATGAAGAGTGGCCAAAATAAACCAAAGAGGGAGAGAGAGGTATTTGAATAGAAACTTGTAAACTATGTAGAGGGGATTGAAGCATTTTTTAAAACGTCTTATTTATTTGGGCTGGAGCGGTAGCACAGCGGTAGGGCATTTGCCTTGCACGTGGCCAACATGGCCTACCCGAGTTCGATTCCTCCGCCCCTCTCGGAGAGCCCGGCAAGCTACCGAGAGGATCTCGCCCACATGGCAGAGCCTGGCAAGCTCCCCGTGACGTATTCGATATGCCAAACACAGTAACCAAAGTCTCCAATGGAGACGTTACTGGGCCCGCTCAAACAAATCGATGAAGAACGGGAGGACAGTGACAGTGATTATTTATTTATTTTGGTTTGGTTTTGAACCACCATCTGGCAATACTCAGGGGTTATTCCTGGTTCTGTGCTCAGAAACTACTCCTGGCGGTTCTCAGGGTCCATATGGAATGCCAGGGATCTAACTCAGGTCACCATGTGCAAGGCAAACACCCTACCTGCTGTACTATTGTTCTGGCCCCTGAATCATTTTAATGGAGCGTCTCGATTTGTTTCACTTTTTTTAATTTTAAGTCCTGGTTTGGTTCATTAGAGCTCTTGCTACTTGCCAAATCATTCATTTATTCATTTTTCTATCAAATGCCAAGTATTCATTCTGTATAAATTAGTAGTCTTGAAAACGACAAAAGTGATTCTGCCCTTTATGGGTTAGAGTCAGGGACAAAGTTAATTGTGTTTTTATTAGTCTGTCGTTTATTATTCCCTGCTAGCTGATATGTCTATCCATATTAATAAATATAAAATAGTTTCTATTTTATATTTATTAAAACTTACTAAATGCTCTTTCTAGACATATAAATCTATTCAGAAATTCCAAATCCCACTAACCACTCTTCATTACAAATAAAACAAAATTGTGCTCATTTAAAATCCAAGTACAGGGCCAGAGAGCTAGTACAGGGGTGAAGGCACTTGCGGCGACCCTGGGCCTAACGGCCCTCACATTGTCCCTCAAGCACTGGCAGAAGTCATCCCAAATCACAGAGCCAGAAGTAAGTCCTGAGCACCACTGGGTGTGGCCAGTTCCCCCACTCCCTAAGATTCCAAGAACAAGGACAAAGTGATAGACACCATTTGGTTCCCAGCCTGCATTGTCTCTAAGAGCATTTCAGAGCACAGCCAAGTGACCCTGGCGGGCTTTGTGGGCCATTTGGGCCTGCAACACACCACTAGGATCATTTTTTTTAATCATAAGCAGTAATTTTCATACAGTGCTAAAATCCATATGTATTCCATGTGTATCTATTCATATATTCATGAGTTTTAGTTAAAATAATCTTTTAAACAGTGATTGATAAATTGGAGCATAAATAAGCTTCTCTCAAGGCAAAATAGGAATCATATTTGACTGTTAGGGGCTAAAAGTATGTGGGTAAATCTTAGTGGTGAACGAGTCATCATGTGCATGAATAATACAGAGGAGGCTAAAGAAGGACATTTTATATGGCATAGGAGTTACAGTGTTTGCTCTTCTTCTTCCTACAGACTTTTCTTCACAGGAATTGGAGGTGTTCATCTGTTCCTTTTCCTCCTCCTGGCTGCAGATGTTTGTTGCTGAGGCGATCTTTAAAAAGTTGTGTTTACAGAGCTCCATCAATATTTCTTCTGAACCACTGTCTCTTCATAAAATGGTAAATATCCACCACTTTTTTCTAAACTTTATAATTTCTAAGGAATGAGTTCATAAATTTAATAAAAGTGTTCCCTAATTATCTCTGATCATCGAGTACAAGCTCAAATGACTCCATAAATCTTTCCTTGTGAGTAGGCATTTTTCTGCCTGAGAAATGGAGTTAGTATAGAAATTTTAATTACTTGAAAGGAAATAAAGGTTGATAATGGAGAAATAAGTGCAGACCCAGCAATAACCCCTCAGTATCACCAGGTGTAGCCTCAAAACAAAACAAAAAATCTTTCTTTTTTTTTTTTTGCACACAGATTCCATGGTACATATGACCATTATTTTGGCCAGACCTAGATTTTTAAAAATTCACAGTATTTTATTTTATTTTTAAAAACAAATACTATAAATAATGCCACGGTATTCCCCATTCCCTTTTGTCTTATACACATGTAGTTTTTATTAGATCTAGAATTTTTATATTTACATGTTTGCTTTCTTTAAACCAGTATTAATACCTATTGTTTTCAGTGGTTTTCTTACCAAATAAGAAATGTATTTGTTAATTGGCCAAGTTGGGCAAATTGTGTTTTATGACAATCCTTGTCTTGAATGATGTCAGCACTTTTTATTCCACTTATTTCAGACTTGCTCTCTGTTGAAGGAAAGTATTACTTACAAAACAAAACAAAATGGAAACGACACCAGTTTTATATAAGTCATAGCACTGTAGCACTGTCGTCCCGTTGTTCATTGATTTACTTGAGTGGGCACCAGTAACATATCCATTTATCCCTGTCACGTGCTGGTATAGCCCAGTGTGTCTGCTCGCTCCAGAAACACGATGTGAGATTTATTGTTACAGTTTTTGGCGTATTGACTATGCCACGGGGAGCTTGCCAGGCTCTGCCGTGCGGGCACTTTATTCTTGGTAGCTTCCCAGGCTCTCTGAAAGGGATGGAGGAATCGAACCTGGGTTGACTGCGTGCAAGTCAAACGCCCTACCCATCCAACCCTTATATAAGTCATAATAAATATTCAAACTATGCATATGGTTATAAAAAGTTGGGTGTAAAGCTGATCAGAATAACTTCCCTAGATGAGTATCAAAATTCAATTTGAAAAAAAGTTAGTTTCAAGAAGACTTTTTTCCTTGCATACATCCCAATGACTTAATGAAACTGAACTAGGCAACTTTGCTGTTATTTTTGTTTAGCATGTTCAGATGAAATAGGGTGGCAGCCAGTGTGAGGAAACTTAAGAAAATAAAACTACTTTAAATGGTTAAATGAGTCAAGTCATTTTTTCCCCACTGCTTTGTAAGTTTTAAAATTTGTGAAATATGATCTTTTTGATGAGTAGTTGAATTCTATTTGCTAGTATTTTGTTGAGAATCTTCGCATCCGTGTTCATCAGGGATATCGGCCTGTAGTTTTCTTTTCTCGTGGTATCTTTGTTTCCTTTTGGTATTAGAGAGATACGGGCTTCATAGAAACTGTTTGGGAGAGTTTCCGTTTTTTCAATTTCCTGAAAGAGCTTGAGAAGGACTGACAGCAGGTCCTCTTTAAATGTTTGGAAAAATTCGCTAGTGAATCCATCTGGGCCCGGGCTTTTGTTTTTGGGAAGGCTTTTGATTGCAGTTTCTATTTCGTTGATGTTAATAGGTCTATTCAGATACTCCAGGTCTTCTTGATTCAGCTTTGGGAGATTATAGGAGTCCAGGAATTTGTCCATTTCTTCTAGGTTCTCTTGTTTCGTGGCATACAGACTTTCAAAGTAGTCTCTGATGATCTTTTGGATTTCTTCGGTTTCTGTTGTGATATCCCCCTTCTCATTTCTGATTCGGTTTATTAGGGTTCTCTCTCTCTGTTTCTTTGTGAGTGTTGCGAGTGGTTTATCTATCTTGTTTATTCTCTCGAAGAACCAGCTCTTGGTTTCATTGATCTTTCGGATTGTTTCTTTGGTTTCCATGTCATTGATTTCTGCTCTGAGTTTTATGATCTCTTTCCTTCTGCCTGATTTAGGCTCTTTCTGTTGATCTTTTTCTAAGGACTTGAGCTGTGAGGTCAAGTTGTTTATGTGCACCATTTCTACAGACCTAAGATATGCTTGCAGAGCTATAAATTTTCCCCTTAATACAGCTTTCGCTGCATCCCATAGGTTCTGGTAGCTCGTGTCTTCATTCTCATTTGTTTCCAGGTATCTTGATTTCGTCCTTGACTTTGTTCCTGACCCATTCATTGTTCAGCATCAAGTTGTTTAATTTCCAGGTGTTTGATTTGGTTCTCCGTGTCTGTGTGTGATTCACTTCTATCCTCAGTGCATCATGGTCTGAAAAGATGGCTGATACTATTTCTATCTTCCTTATTTTGTTGAGGTATGTTTTGTGTCCTAGCACATGGTCTATTTTGGAAAATGTTCCGTGTGCATTGGAGAAGAATGTGTATTCTTTCTTTTTGGGGTGTAAAGCCCCGTATAAGTCTATAAGCCCTTTCTCTTCTATTTCTTCTTTCAAAGCCAATGATTCCTTGCTGGGTTTTGTTCTTGTTGATCTGTCCAGAGGTGATAGGGCAATGTTGAAGTCTCCAAGTACTATTGTGCTGCTTGCAATGTCCTCCTTAAAGTCTGTTAGCAGTTGTTTTAAATACTTGGCTGTTCCCTCATTAGGTGCGTATACATTTAAGAGTGTGATTTCTTCCTGTTGTACGTATCCCTTGATGAATAGAAAATGGCCACCACTGTCCCTTCTAGCCTTTTTCAGGGTGAAATTAATGTTGTCAGATACTAGTATGGCCACCCCAGCTTTTTTACAGGAGCTGTTTGCTTGCAGGATTGTTTTCCATCCTTTGACTTTGAGTCTGTGTTTGTTTTGGCTGTTGAGATGAGTTTCTTGTAGGCAGCAGAAGGTAGGATTCATCCCGGGGATGCAAGGCTGGTTTAACACTAGGAAATCAATCAACATAATCCACCACATCAACAAAAGAAAAGATAAAAATCATATGATCATATCAATAGATGCAGAGAAAGCATTTGACAAGATCCAGCACCCATTTATGATGAAAACCCTAGCCAAAATGGGGATAGATGGGTCTTTTCTCAATATAGTTAAAGCCATCTACCACAAACCTACAGCAAGCATCGTCCTCAATGGCGAAAAACTGAGAGCCTTCGCTCTAAGATCAGGGACGAGACAAGGATGCCCACTCTCTCCACTGCTGTTCAATATAGTATTGGAAGTACTTGCAATAGCGATTAGGCAAGAAAAGGATATTAGGGGCATCCAGGTAGGAAAGGAAGAAATCAAGCTCTCACTATTCACAGATGATATGATACTATACTTAGAAAACCCTAAAACCTCTATCAAGAAACTTCTAGAAACAATGCTTGTATAGTAAAGTGGCAGGTTATAAAATCAATGCCCAAAAGTCCATGGCTTTCCTATATGCAAATAGTGAAAGAGAAGAAAAAGACATGAAGAAAACAATCCCATTCACAATTGTGCCCCAGAAAATCAAGTACCTTGGAATCACCCTAACTAAGGAAGTAAAGGACCTGTACAAAGAAAACTGCAAAGCTCTACTTCAGGAAATAAAAGAGGATACGAGGAAATGGAAAAATATCCCCTGTTCATGGATCGGGAGAATTAACATTGTCAAAATGGCAATACTTCCCAAAGCACTGTATAAATTCAACGCAATCCCTATTAGGATACCCATGACATTCTTCAAAGAATTGGAGCAAACACTCCTGAAATTCATATGGAACAATAAGCCCCCACGAATAGCTAAAGCAATTCTTGGGAAAAAGAAAATGGGAGGAAACAATCTCCCTAACTTCAAACTCTACTACAAGGCAGTAATAATTAAAACAGCATGGTACTGGAACAAAGGCAGAGCTGTAGACCAATGGAACAGGGTTGAATATACTGACGTCCCCCCCAAGTATAGGAGCATCTAATCTTCGATAAGGGGGCAAGAAAAGTGAAGTGGAGCAGGGAAAGCCTCTTTAACAAATTATGCTGGCAAAACTGGACGGCTATATGCAAAAAAAATGGGCTCAGATCTCTGCCTAACTCCATGTACAAAAGTAAGATCTAAGTGGATTAAAGACCTCAACATCAGACTGGAATCTATAAGATACATTGAGGAAAATGTTGGCAAAACCCTCCATAACCTAGAAGCTAATGGTGTCTTCAAAGATGTCACACCTGGCTGGCCAAGCAAGTGAAAACAGAGATAGATAAATGGGACTATCTTAAACTAAGAAGCTTCTGCACCTCAAAAGAAACAGTGACCAAAATACAAAGACAGTCAACTGAATGGGAAAGGATATTCGCCAGCTACACATCTGATAAGGGGTTAATTTCAAAGATATACAAAATACTGGTTCAACTCCACAAAAAGAAAACATTCAACCCCATCAAAAAATGGGGAGATGAAATGAATAGAAACTTTGACAAAGAAGAAATCCGAATGGCTAAAAGGCACATGAGAAAATGCTCCACATCATTAATCATCAGGGAGATGCAGATCAAAACCACAATGAGGTATCACCTCACACCACAGAGACTGGCCCATATCCACAAGAACAAAAGCAACCGATGCTGGCGCGGATGTGGTGAGAAAGGGACATTCCTTCACTGTTGGTGGGAATGCCGACTGGTTCAGCCCTTCTGGAAAACAGTATGGATGATTCTCAAAAAACTAGAAATTGAGCTCCCATTTGACCCAGCAATACCACTCCTGGGAATATATCCCAGAGAGGCAAAAAAGTATAGCCGAAGTGACATCTGCAATTGTCTGTTTATTGCAGCACTCTTTACAATAGCCAGAATCTGGAAAAAACCTGAGTGCCCGAGAACAGATGACTGGTTGAAGAAACTCTGGCACATTTACACAATGGAGTACTATGTAGCTGTTAGAAAAGACGAAGTCATGAAGTTTACATACAAGTGGTACTACATGGAAAGTATCATGTTAAGCGAAATGACTCAGAAAGAAAGGGATAGACATAGAAAGATTGCATTCATCTGGGGAACATAAAGTAACAAAATAGGAAACTAACACCCAAGTATGGCAGAGATTAGTACCAGGAATTTTTCTCAATGACCCGGAGGACAACCACACATGTTAGGGGAAGGGAGAGCTCAGAAAGAGAAGGGAACACCAAATAAAGGGTGTTGGGAGGATCCGCCCACGATGGGAGAGCATGCTGAGGGTAGGCTGTCGACCAAGCATGATTGCCACTCAATGCCTCTTTTGCTGACCATGGCACTCAAAAGGAGAGAGAGGGAAATGCCCTGCCACAGAGGCAGGGTGGGATAGGGGCTGGGTGGGGAGGGGATGCTGGGATCCGAGGTGGTGGGAAATGCGCACTGGTGGAGGGATGGGTGTTTGATCATTGTATAATCGAAACCCAAGCACAAAAATGTGTAAGTCTACAACTGTACCTCATGGTGCCTCACTATTAAAAAATAAATATTAAAAAAAATAAAATAAAATTTGTGAAATAAATAAAATATTATTTTCCAATAGATATATTCCTATTTGCCAGCTTTGGGGAAAACTGGTGTGCATGGCTCTGGAAAGATGCAGATGCAGATGTCCAAAAAAATAGGACAGTGGCCTTGCCTTGAGTCTCCAAGGGCTTTACTGATGTTGAACGGCGCTAAACAGAAAACAGGTGAAGAAGTGCCAGAGTTACAGTAAGTGACATCCATGTACCAATGATGCTTTGTTTTTTTTTTTTAATTAATGGCTTTTATTTATTTATTTATTTGCTTTTTGGGTCATACCTGGCAATGCTCAGGGGTTCCTCCTGGCTCTGCACTCAGGAATTACTCCTGGCAGTGCTCAGGGGACCATATGAGATGCTGGGAACCGAACCCGGGTCGGCCACGTGTATGGCAAACGCCCTACCCGCTGTGCTATTGCTCCAGCCCCAATGATGCTTTGTTTTAAAGTGTAACTGTTTCTCAAGCATTGGTCTTAGCATTGTAATTATCTGTGATTGTGGATCAATACTCATCAGCAGAATTCTTCTATTCTACACGTGATCAGGAATTTCATTTGGGGGTTGTTTGTGTGTTAACATTGTATTTATTTATGAACATCTTGACTTTCCTTTTTTTTTTTTTTTTTGCTTTTTGGGTCACACCCGGCGATGCTCAGGGATTACCCGGCTCTGCACTCAGGAGTCACTCCTGGCGGTGCTTGGGGGACATACGGGGTGCTGGGAGTCGAACCCAGGTCAGCTGCGTGCAAGGCAAACGCCTTACCCACTGTGCTATCGCTCCAGCCCCACATCTTGACTTTCTTTAGTCATAGTAAACACTTTCTTTTTTGTGAAAATTAAATGCTTTCTGAGAGAAATAAAGTGTTCTAAAATTACTCTTTCACAATTTTTACTCTTGTGATTCAAATCACAAATAAGGGATTTCAGGGGTCTGAGCAGTAGTACACAGCAGACAGAGTGCTTGCTTTGTATGCAACCAACGTAGGTTTTATCCCTTTTATCCTATATGGTTTCCCAAGCCTGTCAATAGTGATCTCTGAGCACAGAGCCAGGATTCATCTCTGAGCACCTCGAGGTGTGGCCCAATCTCCTCAGCCCCCACAAAAAATGAATTTCAGGATATATGGTCATATGAGATTATTTGAATTGTTGGAATCGGTTTTCCCAAAAGAGCTACCTCCTCTAAAGCTACATAAAATCAGAAGATCTGAAATGTATATAGAGAGATAGCAGAGCGATGAAAGTATTTGCCTTGCATGTAGCTGAACCCAGTTTGATCTCTGGCCGCGGGTATGGCCCCACCCCAGCATCACCAGGAGTTGTGCCTGAGCACAGAGTCAGAAGGAAGTCCTGAACATCTCAGTGTGGTCCCAAATCAAGCAAAAGGGAAAGAAAACATGACGTGCTTTTAGGAAGAGTAAAATAAGAATATCTTGACCCTTTAACATTTTATTTTATTCTCTCTGCAGAAAATAATTTACTTGGTCTTTTTCTCTTTTGCTATTTTACCATATTCATAGACTTTTCAGTTGGCAGGCTTAATTAATGAAAGTCAGTGTATTAAAGTTTATTTCTACATAATGGGAATAAATATAAAAATAAGCAATGAGTATTTGAATGAATAGAGGAGTAAATTAAAGAAGGCCTTTTTTTGTTTGTTTTTTCTTTTCCTTAATGCTCACCATCTAATACACGTTGCCTTGGTGAAAAACAAGCTTTCTTTCTTTCTTGCTGTCTTTTCAGAGAGCTGAGCCTTGCTAAATGTTCCTCATCATTAAAAAGATTGAAAAAGAAATCAGAAGGAGAGTTGTCATGTTCCAAGGAGAATTGCCCCTCTTTAGTTACAAAGATGAATTTTCACAAGACTAATCTAAAAGGTATTCCAAGTATCTAAACTGGTGCTAAGACCTCTTTTTTTGTGGCTTTTTGCATATTTTGCACACTGATCCTTTGAACTTAAATACTGAAGTGAATTCAGGAACCCCCTTCCTGGCCAGCATGTTATTTTTCTGAACTTTCATGTATACCAAAATTGTTCGTTTCATACCCAGTACAGTAATAGAATATTCCTCTTGTGGAGTGCCCTCTGTCTTTCTAGACAAGACGGTACATGGTTTGCACTGAGCTCATTCCAGCCTTGCCCGCCTTACTGTTCTACTCGACCTCAACCTGTGTTGCTGAGGGTCAGTGTCTTTTGATTTGAAAGTAAAATTCAGTCCTCATCTCTCATCCAGACATTTCGTGAACAAAGAATGAGGAGTAGGCTATGTTACATAGCTGTGTTAACCATATGGACCCTTTTCTTCCAGGCATTGAGCCCAGACTATGAAATGTGTTTGGCTTTTGGTTCTAACTATACTGGAACCTAAGTACCTAAAGGATGGAGTACTAGAATTATAATAATTTACTCTAGCACGTTTTTAGATATAAATGACCTTCCAGGATTCTGTATCTGGCCAATTGTGGAGTTTCTTGCTTATGAGCTGTATCATGTTTATAATACAAATTTTATTATGTCACCAGTTTGAACAGTATATTAGCTTTGAAGCTTTCATTAATCTTTCAACATAAGTTCATAATTGTGTAGCTCAGATTCAAAATAATTGCCCATTTGGTTCAAACTGTGAAAATGTATTAAACGAGATATTAATTTCACAAACCTTGTTCTTTTTCTTTGTTTATTGTTTCAGAAAGTAAAAAATGTGAATAACTTTAGGCTGAACAGCAGAAGGAAATATGAGGGAAAAAGTGAATTGGGAGATACAGAAAACTTCAATAGCTATTCAGTGTATATAAAAGAAATATTTTGACAGAAGTTACAGGCGGAATCTGTAAAACTGAATACTCAAAGTTTGTTACATTGTAAAGAAAGAACTATTTATTTTATAAGCAGTGGCTTATTTTTTTTTTTAATTTCCCTTACACAGTTTAGACTCAATATCTTATTAATCTTGGTTACATTGAGATTCACATAGAAATTGTAACCAACTTATTATTTCTTTTAGACAAAACTTTACCATTCTGATTGTCATTCTTACTCAGCTTTAAATGGTACTAGAGATTTTTCTCGTGTGTGTGTATGTTTTTATATTAAGAATCCCCCCATTTCTCCTTCTCTGTGCTGCTGTAGCCAAGCCAGACAGCCTATTGAGAAGCAGCAAACCATCTGTTAATGGATTTGAAGTTCTGAATTATACTTGAGTGTGTAAGGCTCTCGTGCTTAGCCAGAAACATTCATTTGAATTAAGCTATAAATGCTGTATAAAAAAGAGCCATACATTGAACGTAGGATCATGAATAAATTTAAGCGATGGCAATTGCACTCTAAACTTTTATTACCAGAAAATCTAGTATTTTTAGGTGTTCTGTGATCATTTGGGGGTTTTATAGTGGACTGAAGCTTTAAACCTTGAACTAGGGGGAGACAATACCCGTGTTAAACCTTTTGCAGTAGAATTTCATTGCTGAATTCCTGATGGAACAGAGGCTCTGTGGATTGGTGGGGTTTCCTCCCCCCTCTTTTTTTTTTTTTCAGTAAGAAAGATGCTTAAACCAGTCAAAAGGAGAACTCAATAAATAATTTTCTGGCATGGGGCCAGATCTCCTAGTTCATGCCCTTTGATTATTTTCTGTAGTTGATATCTTGTCTTCTCTGGAATAATCTATTAAATTTTTTATGGCAGGAGAAACAGCCCTCCATAGAGCTTGCATAAATAACCAAGTGGAGAAACTGATTGTTCTTCTTTCTCTGCCAGGAATAGACATCAATGTTAAAGGTAAGTTCTGTAATATCGGCTTTCTAATCCAGTATCTTATTATTTGTGATATTAAGTTGTTTGATGTCAGCATTTTTTAAAAGCCATTCAAATTTGTTTATCTTTTATGTCTTTAAAGTATTGCCAGAAGTAAACCATATATTGATTTTTAGTAGTGGTGTAGACACATTTTTTGTTTTCTATATTTAATTACATCCCAACATCAATGTTTTAAAAATTGCAATTAGGACTACAGTTATACCCCAGGCATTTTTATCTGGTTGCCTCAGATACAAGCATTTCGCTTGTGCATGAGGCAACCTAAAGGACATATAGATATGGGAGGTAGATTATCAATAATACCTCACTAACCAAAGTCCTACTTTTGCTGTTTTCAAACTTGCCTTGATTTCTAATTTAGACAATGCTGGCTGGACGCCTTTGCATGAAGCCTGTAACTATGGAAACACAGTGTGTGTCCAGGAAATTCTGCAGCGTTGTCCAGAGGTAGATCTGCTCACTCAAGTGGACGGGGTGACTCCTTTGCATGATGCACTGTCAAACGGACATGTAGAAATTGGCAAGCTGCTACTTCAGCATGGGGGTGAGTGCATTTATGCTAAGCAGGTTTTGATAAAATTTTCCAGCATTTTTGATGAATTCCTCAGATGTAGAAAGTGTTTTGTATTTAAGATCTGTAAGGAAAAATGCCTTTATTTCATATTAATGAGAAAGTAATGATAAAGTTCTCAAATGTAGTAAGCACCTATTATGTAGTGGGGACAAAGCCTTTTCATAACATTCATTTATTAGTAAGTAGATTTGCGTAGATTTTGAATTGTGAGTGTTGGTTTTAATTGCTAAATGTCTTTTACTTAAAGTGTGTAATGTCTTTGTGAACCAGCCATTTCTGGGAGCTTACTAACACATGCAAGTATTTAGTTGTGATTAATTGGGTTTTTAATTCTTTTTTTCTGTTCCTGTATAAAACTGCTAATAGGTTAATCTTTTTTAGTCATTTCTTTATAGACTATAGTAAAGATTGAAAATACCTTTTTTTATATTATTCCCATTTTACTGTCAAGTACATTAAAGTAGAAAAATTCTCAAAAAGGGGATAACAGTTTTGCATGGGTTTTTTATGAACGTAACTTAAGCTTAATATTCATCTGCTTTTTACGCAGGTTTTTTTAAAATCTGTGCTTCAGAAAATATCACCACCACTTTTAGTAATATTCTTATATTTGAATAATATCAATTTTACATTAGTATGTTAAAACTCTTGTGTCAAAAAAAACCTGATGTCTAGCTTATAATGCAGAAATGAAGATTTATATACATTCTGTTTTTATTTGTACTAATTTTATCTTAGGGCTTAAAATAATTTTTCTCCTACAGTTAAACTGTTAGATTCTCATGATCAGAAAAATTATATTTTCTGCATACGGCTTTTTTCTATAACTATATAGTCTATTTAATATATTTATAGTTATCAGACTATATAGCGTGAATTTAAGACATTGGTTATTTATAGTCTTCTCCTGCCCCCTAAAGGCTTCAGCGTGTCTGTTTTTAGTAATTCAATTTCTTAGTCACAATAATTTTCTGTTCTACTTCTTTATGTGTTATATATTTACTAAGACATAATGCTTTCTCCTAAGTGTGTTATTTTGCTGCTTAACCATAAATCTGACTTTTCAAGTCAAGATTTGCCTCTCATACCTCAATGACGAGAGAGCTGTTAGTTTTTTCCTCTAGCACTCTTAAGTATATAGAACTCTTTACTAGAGAAAATTCACGGCCTCTGTAAATTTTTCTAGGGCTCTTTGTAAAGAAAGTAAATGCATGAGTTCCTTGTCCTAAGAGAGGAATTTTACTTGTGCCTGTATTTAAGTACTTTGGCAGTTGTAGGCTTACCTTTATCTTAGTCTTAACTCTGGTTTTCACATGTCAAATGATTGGACAACACACATCATTATTGTAGTAACTGAATTATCTCGTTTGTTGTGAGTTGCTCAGTCTTGAGAACAGTAATTTTTAAAATGTCTGTCCAAATCTAAAACTTTCTTGTATTTTGAGTATACTATGTGTCATTTTGTTCTGCTTTTAAAAAAATAGTAGACAGAATAGAGAATGTTTTCTGAGATATAATGAAATCTAGTTTCAAATTAGCATTCCCTCCACCCTCATAAATTGTACACTAATTGTGTCATCAGTGCTTGGTCTTTTTTTGTTAAATTTATTTTATATCTCAGACACTACACTTGTCTGATCAGATTAATCATGAATTTTTCCATGTTTAATTCTCTCTCTGTCTCTGACAATATGATCTGTGCTCTACAGTAGTACTGCTTTTCCTGACCCTTTTTTTTAAAAAATAAAAAACCTCTAATAACATTTCTAAGGAAAAATACATACATAATTATAGGAATCGGCTGACAGAGGTACAAAGTATTCCCATATTTTGCTCTATGACCAAAGATCAAGTCTGTCATTGGCTCCTCCTCCATCTTCCTTTACTAGTTCGGGAAAACTATATTCAGCGCTAAGTCAATGGGTAGATGGGTTTAAGTAGGAAAAATGGATAAAATCTGAGTTCACTGTGGCACAGTTAACACTTTTTGAGTTACTGGTACTAAAAATGGAACATAAGATCATGAATGGAAAACATTTCTTCTTTGCAAGGTTCTTCTGGTCTTTCCTCAGCTCCTTGTAAACAGAAGGGGGCACCTTTCTGCCTGTTGATGCCATGTGACGCCTCTCACGCTCTTATACTGGGTTTAAGGTTGACGGATTTTGTTACTTTCTCTGGGAACACAGAAATTTTACACTAATCTGAAAATTTATGAAGTTTCATGAGTTTTATTTTTTTGCTCATAAAAAGTTATTTATTATGCTAAGGCAGTTCTTTCAGGCAAACCTCTTTAGATAATTGAATAGAGTTTGGGTTTTATTAAAAGCACTGTCATAGTTCTATTTGTAGCCAGTTAACTATGTCAGCAGGAGTCACTACAAATATGACGGAAATAGAACCCTAGATGCTTTAGGCCGGGGGATGCAGAAACTGCTGCTCAGCTGCCAAGGCAAAATTGTTTTATTCTTAACATTTTCTGTTTATTTTCTCCCAATAGGCCCTGTGCTTTTACAGCAGAGAAATGCTAAGGGGGAATTGCCCTTGGATTATGTGTTATCATCGCAGGTCAAGGAAGAACTATTTGCTATTACAAAAATAGAAGACACAGTGGAAAACTTCCATGCACAAGCAGAAAAACATTTTCACCACCAGCAACTTGAATTTGGCTCGTTTTTACTTAGTAGGATGTTGCTGAACTTTTGTTCAATTTTTGATTTATCTTCAGAGTTCCTCTTAGCTTTCAAAGGGTTAACACATCTAAATGAGCTGCTGGTGGCTTGCAAAAATTATAAGCAAGCTACCAGTGCTCATACTGATTGGTTACTGGATCTTTATGCTAGAAATATAAAGACTTTACAGAAGCTCCCAAATATTCTTAAGGAACTGCCTGAGAACTTACAAGTGTGTCCTGGAGTACACACTGAGGCCTTACTGGTGACATTGGAAATGATGTGTCGGTCAGTCACAGAGTTTTCTTGATGATGCCAGAAAATATGAGTCAACCATTCTAAACTCTCTCCACTTGCTGTGTTATTTACTATGGACTTACTAAGTTATTAACAAATATTAATGTAATTTATTTATTGATAGAATCTTTAGTATTGTTAAATTTTAAAAGCACTTAAAGAACTTCGGCAAAACTCTAGGATAGACTTCTTATTTTAGTAGAGTAGAATTTGACACCAAAGTGAAAAGTAGTTTTGTTTGACATACACAGCTTTCATTAACCTTTATTATTACATGTTGTTTTAAGAGGGATTATTTATTTATATTGTATATGTAAACTTTTTTATTTAAATATTTTTCCAAATCAAACTGTAATGTTCTGATTCTTGGTGTTCTAGGTCTTAGAATCATGGCAAGGGTTTCCATGCAAATGTGTTCTCCGTTTCTTCTCTTAGGCAGTTAAACCGAAATGCCCGCTTTAATTTTGTGTATTTCTAAATACATGTTTCTAAAATTTACAATAATCATCTTGGTTTTTAAGTGCATTAAATTGAGTATGCAAAGTTTGACAATGAGGATCTCTTGATCTATTTTATTTTAGGCGTATATGTTGAAAGTGTATTTCTATTTCATGTAACCAGTATTCTGTAACTGAAAACATTCTGATTCATGTTTCATTTCAAATTAAGATTATAAATGGCAACCAAAAATAGATTTCAAATTATCTCAAATCTTAATGCACCGTATGAATTTACAGAGCCTTAGGATTTCAACCTGCAATTTTTTCCTAATAGTAGTTTATAGTAAAACTAACAAAAGGGTGTGGATAATAACCACTTGTGAAATTGAAGTTGCTTCACTAGAGGAATAAGTTACATTGTGATACAGCTGGAAAAGAAACATTAAAACTTCCATTTAGCTTTTATGTAACTAAAGTGATAATCTCATAGCAATTAATCTGCTAAAGAAGCACACTTTAGTTTTATCTTAGAAATAGATCTTTTAACAAGAACCAATTGCCCAGTGTTTTATTACAGGATTCTTACTCTAAATTGAAAATTGCTTTATTAATACATCAGCTGTTAATAAAAATTAAGTTTTTTCTCCACATATTTTAAATAAGTACTTTTCTAAACATACACTATTAAAAATATTGGTTATAACTATCTAGCCTTAAAATGTGTAACTTCATACAGATTTCTTCCTACTTAATCTGTTAACATTTCAGAAAACATGATGTAGCAGAGATTAAGTAATTCTAAAATACCAAGGTTGAAGTTCTTTTGCTATGAGTTAAAACATTGTTATTCATCTAGTGCCACTTTATCTCATTTGTGAAGTGCATTTGGGATAGTTTGCTTCGTAAACTTACACATTTAATTAGAGACTTTGACATCAAATATAATTTCGAAGTCTTTTCTGATTTCTTAGTGACGAGTTCATTATAAGACAAGTTCCTTTTTAAGTTTTTATTTTCTAACCTGTCAAATGGATATAGCACCAGGAGGGGTTTTTTGTTTTTGTTGTTTTTGTTTTGCTGTGATAGGATTAAGCTGTCCTACACTTTATGTGACATTAATAAATGTTACTTCCATTCTGGTGCCCTTTTTTTTGTTGTTAGTTGTTGGAGTCGCACCCAGTGGTACTCAGGAATGTCGTGCAGTGCTGGCAAGACATGGCCTCTCCCTTTTGAGCCTTAACTTCAGAGTTTCTTTCTAAATCTCTTAACCCTTTGTTACAATCAGTTAAGTGAAAAAAAAAAAATAGTCACTTCTTAAGCTGGTAATTATTTGAAGGAATAAAATAACAAGTTACAAGTTTTTGCCGTTAAGAAAAAGTTTTCTAGTCAAATGTTAAGTATTTATGGAGTTGCATTTAGTATTAAAATATTGCATAGCGGGGCCGGAGTGATAGCACAGCGTGTAGGGCGTTTGCCTTGCATGCGGCCGACCTGGGTTCAATCCCCAGCATCCCATACGGTCCCCCAAGCACCACCAGGAATAATTCCTGAGTGCAGAGCCAGGAATAACCCCTGAGCATCGCTGGGTGTGACCCAAAAAGCAAAAAACATATATATATATATTGCATAGCTGTTCTCTATCATCTTTGCCAAGCCATGGACATGTATTTATTAAGCCCTCAGAAACCACTGAGTTCTGTGTCTCTAAGAAGGTGTCGTTGCAATTTTGTTCTTACTGAAAATTAAAACTTAGGCCTGGCAGTGTCACTCACTGGTGGAGCGTATGCCTTGCCTGTGTGAAGCCCTGGTGGGTTCTGTTCCTCGTATCACGCACAGGCAAAAAATATATATATCGGTTAACAATTGAGTAAATGTAAATGATTTTTAACTTGCAGTGACCAACCTTATCCCCAATATTTTAGCAGGCCTAACAATTCCGTCGCTTTCTATCCCTTTCTTCCCACCCCACCCTCTTCCCTTCCTACTATAGTTGTGATAGCTAAAGGTCACACACATAATTGGTGGTGGGGCTCACACATTTGGTTGTGGCACTTGCTGAGGGTTGCGTATCTGGTTGTTGCTCGTGGTGATCACCGTGGCTGGCACACATCTAGTCGCAGTGCTTGCCAAGGGTTGAACTTCTGGCCACGAGACTCCCACATCTTTAGTTGTGCCCCCACACACCTGACTGAGCTCACTGTTTCACCACCTGGGATCCCAGTTGCAACTGCTCTTGGCATAGGTGATTGGCACCAGCAGTCCCACAGGCGCTGCCGGTCCCCTAACCATTGCTTTAAGTCTTTGAGGTAAAAGAAGTAAAAATTCCAAATTCAATGTCAGTTCGTAGCCTAAGCACTAGCTTTCCGGTTGTAGATGGCTCAAAGTTGCAGCTGCTTGAGAACCAATCTGCGTAATCCTGTTCATTTGTTCTCCACCAGATTTCATATCATAAGTCAATGGAATTGTTAGCAAAAAATAAATAAAGTCTATCGAAGCATATGACAGTGTGAATAAAGCCTGAAGATAATTTCTGAGCTGTTAATATTTAGTTTTTTCCTCTGCACAGTTCCCACAATATCGGGAATATGAAAGGTTTTTTAGAATGTTTGATGACGATTCTTGAGAAAAAGTCTCTGGGAAATTAGAGTTTTCTTGTTTGCTAGTTCTTAAATTCACTGTGCAAAATAGAGAAGTTCAAGAATATAAATTTTCTCATGTCACTAACTCTACAATGAACGGAGGAACATCCTCCAACAAGTCTATTGCAAACTTAACTAGTGTTTTGAATTCGTTTCTCAAACACCAACTATGTATGAAATAGTTTGCTTAACTGAACTCACAAAAGTCTGTGGTGAATTAGACATATTTTATTGTCTTTTAAATAAGCTGCTGAAAAATAGTTTGCTTAGTCATTTGTCTTATTAGCCTTTAAATGAATATTCAAGGGACTGATAAATTCTTTCATCAGTATGATTTTAACAGGGTGGATAAAATGTGAACATGCTTTTGTAATCTTAGTGAAATAAACATTGGAACTTTTTTATATAAATGCCAGGAAATATTTGCCATTTTTATTATGCTGTTGTCACACACTAACTTAATGAATACCTTCGTGCGCAAAAATTACTGGTGGAAAGTGCAATCTATATGCGCTTATACACTTGCCCAGTGAAGTGATGAACTTGATGAGAGCCTGTCACTGTTGCTCCTTAATCAGTAGGACCAGGTCATCTTTGAGTGACATGAGGCTCTCTTCCCCTCAGGCATTCATCATCAGGCTTTTTTGCCAATTGCACCTCCTGCTGACGTGAAGCTTGCAAAACTCAGAATGATAATTGTTTTCATAACAAATGTGGATTGAGTTAAAAAGGTCAGTGAATGGCATTATTGGAATTAGGCCGTGCCTGGTGATGTCAGAATTGGAGACATGGAATAGTTACTACTTCTTCTAAATCAAATCAAATTGTTTTTAAAAACTTACCGTGTAGATGAAAATGAAATGTGAGGGAAGAATATACTTTTGTGGTCGGTTGCTTTGATCTAGAATTAAACATTGGACTGTAAGCTAATTATAAAAGTTTCTAATCCTTTGTTTTGAAATTTGTTTCCAAGCATACATTTTCAATCTACTACAGTTATTACTTTAATAATGCCTCCACTGAAGAAAAAGATTTTTAATGTCTTCTGAGCATTAGAAATTTTTAAAACGTTTTCTGTGCTAATATTAAAGATGCAAAATATATTGAATACATGCTTCCCAGCTTACAAAGGCACCAGCACTAAGAGCCGGACAGATCTTTAGACTTAGTTTCATGGACGCATCTGAATTATTAAGAGAAATTTTCTATTAAGTCATTTGAAAGAAGAGTTGTTAATAAACGAAACACCAGGCACAAGTCGTAGTAATCAGTTTTTTATCAAAGACAAATCTGCTTCATGGTAGTTTGTGTTGTAAGATCTGTCCAATACGTATATTTTAATTCATTACTATAGTTTCTTAGGACAGCATATCTTTGATCATAAATATACCCACATTATGATTTTTGATACTTAAAAGATAACCCTTAGAAACAAAAAACAAGTGATTGCTTTTTTCTTTTACAATTGTGTTCATAAATAAACGGGAACACATTTTTTTTACAATTATGTTCATGTTTATAGTTTGATGTACATAGTCAGTGCATGTCACCACCACCCTTGTCCAAGACCCCTACCACTGCCTTTGTTACTTTTACTCTCTCTTGAGATATTTTTTAAATGTTTCGTGCCACTTCTATATTTTTTTTTAAAAAATGTGGGCAATTCTTGTCTGCAATTTTAAACTATTTGCTGAATTAAATCAGGAAAATGACCTGTAACGATAATCATAAATGCATATTCCTAACATACACATATTTTGTATATGAGATTATTTATGGAATAGTGCCCTTTAAAAAAAGACCAAAAGTAAATGAAAGTTCTTGAGGTAATCATTTATAAAATAGCTGTCTGATTTCATGGCACCCATATCTTAGAATATTCAGCTCAGTTTTGGTTAATCCTTTTCCTTTCAAAAGTATCTAAATTGGATCAAGTTAACATTAATATATAATGGGTGTTAAACATTTAGAATAGGAAACTACTTTGTAATGTTTGATTTACTTCAACCAAAGACTGGAAGCTTTTTATATAAATATGCCTACCACTATTTTATACAAATAGGTGAATTGTGCTGAACTGAAAATCTGGAGTTCAGCTTTGAATTTACACCTATCACACTATCATTTATCTTAATAGTGAATGAACTAAATTTTCTACTCGCCATCCTTCTGTCCTCAAATGAAATAGCCGTGTTGAAAAAAATCATTAATCTTTAAGTGGTGACAGATAAAAAGAACTTAGTTTGTTCTCAGTACTTCTCAGCTCAAAGGTTAGGTCAGAGATGGTTTATATCATGACACTGATAAATTTTTCTAATGACCAGAATGGTTTGATTTATAGTGATTTTGTTTTTATTTTAAGAAATATGTATCTTGGGTATCTAACTACTTTCTAAAGATGCTTTTTTCTACTTTGCGGTCTGTTTTGCAATAGAGATGAAATTACAGAACATTAGGTAAAATTTGGTAAAATTAAAATATATGTCTAGATCTCTGTGAAAACTTAAAAGGCAAAATAATAAAGGCAAAAGGCAAAGAGATAGGAAATAGGAAACTGGATTAATGAAAATGAGGATGCTGTTTAATGTGTTGATTGCACTGAACTGATCCTTTGAAAATTAATGAAGGTGTAAAACTAAGCATTTAGTCTAATCTCAGGCATAGACTGACTTTGAAAATGGTAATAATGTTGAAGAAATTAAGATCCCAGTTCATTTAGTTGAAATTGAGTTCATTTAGTTGAAAATCCCAAAGTAGAGAACCGAAATACCATTTTTGAGTCAACTAAAATAGGTAAATTTAACTAAGATCCAGTCTCTTTCTCAATATTAGACAAATCTCGATTTCTCCTATTTTATTTTTCAGTAACTTCGGTTCTTTTGTTCTCCTTTTCAAAATACTTTTCAGCCCTGCTTATTCACATTAACAGAGAAAGTGGACTTAGAAGGGGTTGAAAATCATTTATAAACTGGCTAAGCTAGTTCCCTAAAACATTTTCCTTGACTATTTTTAGGTGTTTTTTAAGAAATAGAATATCTAAATTTCATTTTTTTTCTAAGAGTCTGTAGAGAAAATGATTTGCAAGCAAATAGATTGTTAAAAGTAGTGGTGCCGTGTGAAAGAATTTTGGATATTTTTCACATCATGTTTCTTTGAATTGTAGCTTGCCTTTTTAATACCAGTAAAATTTATCTTCCAGAAGTAATGATCCTGGTAAAAGAATTAGTCTTAATTTTTTTTTTAAGTTTTCTTACATAACTATCTTTTACTAGGGTTTTTGATAATACAAAGAGCACTTGAGCTGGAATTATGGTACAGTCGAACTGGGTTCAATCCCCAGTACCCCAGGGGTTGATCCCTGAGCAGTGAGCCAGGAGTAACCTTTGAGCATTATAAACAAATACACACACACACATACCACTTTTAAAACGTCAGACAGTTACCAAATTACAGTTTCATTCGGTGCAGATCCCAAATAACAAACATACTATCCACAGTTC